ATTATTTTAATATAAACTAGTTTGACTCCGAGAGTTGCTCCCAATCCGAGCAACTGATCCTTCAACTACTACCTCAGTTAGCCTAGTATTTGATCTAGTTTTTTTTCCTTGGCATAACAGCTGGGATTATAAGTAGGATAGAAAAAATAGCCTCTCAGTTGTGACGAAAGTATTCAAGCCACTATCATGATCAAGCTTTTACCCAGCAAATGTGTTGTGTCTTTCTCTCTCTAAGATGAGTTTGAGTTGCGAGGAGAGAGAAGATGGTAAAACGAAAGGAAAAATACGTGACACGTAGTGGACATGCACAATGCTTCAACACTTGTTCCCTTTTCTTCACTGATTGCCATTGCTATAATGCCAACCACTGCCTCAATTCTTCCCCAGTTCCAAAAACTGGAGTTATGACCTTCCACAGTCAAATTCTATTTTGTTGTTTATGTTGGAGTTTGTATATAGAAAGAGATAAATAATGTCAATTAATAAAATGGGTCTATACTACTAAAAAAATTAGATTGATCTATCATGAATTTTGTGGTTGCAATTTTTTGTTCTCAGAAATCGACAATCTATTTGTTTTTTCAAAGAAAAAAATATAAGAGTTGGCAACTTGAAATAATAAACATTTTCAAACCCACAACATCATATATATTGTCGAAGAGTTTCCATACTATAAAGCCACAGGGCAGTATGATGCATTACTATTATTTTTCTATTATCTATCCAAAACCAACAAGAGTAAGTTGTTTTTTTTTTTTTTCCTTTAGGCCAATAAAGGTATAGATATCTCGAAGTTGATAGGTAGGAAGACCAATTTTTGGAATTTTGTGGTCGATCCATCCTCCGATCTTATCTGATTCAAGACTCGGCCAAACCAGATCTGAATATCATCATCATCATCCAAACTCCACATACGTATCTCGACCTGCTTGTAACTGTTTTAAGAATGTTTAAAACATAAATAAATATATAACTCCTGCGGGTCCCAAGCATTATTATTACAGTAAGAAATTCATTGTTTCAGAGAGACATAAAGGAGTGGAGGCAGATCCAGAGGTTTGAAGATGATGAGGACCACTAGCTACTGTTGATGAACAATTATAACGTTGAATGTCCTTCCCTACTCTGAAATGTAAGTATTAAACTGGGATCACATGCTTTTGCTTTTGCTTATATATTACTCCTCCAGTCCTTAATATAGGACCTAATTATTGAGTTGGTTTTGGGTCCTAAATATAAGAACCCATTTCTCATATTTATCAATTTTCTCTAAATTACCCCTATGGATACTCCCTCAACTATAATCAAGTAGAAGAGGGAGATGGGGTATTAAGAAAGATGATTATGGTGTTTTAGGAAAAACGCATCACATTTCTCATAATTAACTAACTTACCTAATTCCTTAATCTAATCAAATTAGTTAAATGGGTCTTATATTAAGGATCAGAGGAGTACTATACCTCTCGTCCTTAATATAAGTCCTTGTTTGACTTTTATTTTGGTTCTAAATATAAGACCCAAATCTATTTTATCTCTTATATTTATCTACTTTTTTCCAAGATAATCCTTCTAAAATAATGGTAGTTCTAAATAATGAACTTGATTAGTAAGGATATTTTAGAAAAAAAATCTATTTATTACAAATAACTAACTTAACTAAGTTCTTTAATCTCTCCAAATTAGTCAACTGGGTCTTATAATTAGGATCGGAAATAGTGGTCTACTATATATCCAATCTTTAGTATAAGACCTAGTTGACTAATTTAAAAAAATTAAGAAAAGTTACTAAATTCTATTTATATTTATTATTTTATTCAAATTAATTTGTTTCACTTATAAATTGATATATAATTTAATAATACACATAAATATTTTTAGAGAGATCATGTAATATATACTATAATTAAATAATTTAATAACTTTCTTAATCTTTCCAAATTAGTCACTAAGTCTTATAATAAGAACTGAAAATAGTGCGCGCGCCGCACGCGCATGTATGGTGTTGCTGTCTTCAAACGTCGAATTGCTTGAGGTGGAGGTTGAGTTCTGTATTTCCCTTCTCTCCTTTCTGTTTTGAGATTTGTCCGCTTCCTTTCTACATTTAAGTCTTGTGTTCTTCAATATTATTGTTAGTGTGTGAGACTACTCGTCCATTTGTTCCGAATTTAAGATAACTTGTACCCTTCAAAACTTGGGTACATGATATTTTATATAAAGAATGTTTAATAGAATGTAACTGTGTTGGCAAAAAAAAAAAAAAAAGAGAGTCTAATTATGAATTCAATTTGGGCTATTAATACTATTGATTGTCGATCGATTGATGTGTCATTCTAATTCTAATTGACTTAGCGCGCTTCTAATTTTTCTGACAAGCTGAGCGTGCCTCTAATATACACACACGCTACCCTCCTCTGCTTCATATAAGAGCTAATAGGGATTTCATTTGATCCTCAATATAAGATATTAATCCATTTTATTTCATAAATTTATAATTATTCTCTAAAGTATATCTACTAATTATACGTGTTAAGGGATTTCTATCTTATAATAGTCATGATTAAAAAGATATTTTAGGAAAATTAACCCATAGTTGTGACAAATAACTAAATTAATTAATTTTCTTAACCTATTCAAATTAATTAAGTTCTGGGTATAAATATAAGAGTTAGTTTGATTTTTTAATTTGGTTTTAAATATACAATTTTAATTCACTTTGTCTTTCATATTTATCTATTTTTTTAAGATAATCCTTATCACAATTGTATATTTTAAATGTCTTATTAAATTGTAGTTTTAGCTCATACATATGATTAGCAATGATATTTTGGAGAAGACAACACATATTTATCACAATTAACTAACTTAACAAACATTTTTAATCTTAGTCAACTAGGTAAGAATCGGAGGTAATAACTCTTATTAAGGACCGGAGATATCATACACACATATATACATACATACATATATATATTTATATGATTCTGTCATAATAATTAATATTGGGACCTGCATGAGAGAGGCAGAATGTCGTTTCATGTTATTGTCCTATTCATGTGGAAAGACACTAGTACCTGTTCAACGACGACAACTTCTTCTCTATAATCCAAGTGTTCGAGACAAAGATTCAATGATGAGCTTCATGCTTGTGGCTTTTCTTAATATCACACTCTTATGAGGCAATAATCGACAACCACTCTTTAATCTTATTATTGTAATTCCTCAGTTCTTAAATATAAGAGTGTTTAACTAATTTAAGTATTTAATAAAGATAATTAGGTTAATTATTTGTAATCAATATGAATTCATTCTTCTAAAATACTATTTTTAAACATGATGACCTTTGAATGAAATATCTTGATATGTGTAATCAATAGAGATATTTTGGAGAATAAACTACAAAATTTGGGGGACAAAGCGAAAGAAACTAATCCTTCATAATATAATAAACTACTGTTTGAATCTTTGCTGCTGAGAGAAGTATCCATATTTAACGTCTAACAATGTCTTGAACAGAATTATCTCCAATAAAAAGATAATTGTGATTTTAAAAAAAAAAAAGCATCAAGTAATTATAATAGTACCTCGTTTTTTGACTTGGTAGGCGTGCATGGTGATACAAGCTATGAGGAAGATATTGGTTGTCATGCACAGATTGGAATCAAGGACGGGATTAATTAAGATATGGATCTAATCTTGTGAACTTTGGGTGTTTTAATAGTGGAATGAATTTTACTTATGCTGTCCATTATTTGGTCCATCTCTCTCTGGACTTTATTTTCTCTTAAAATTATTTTTATTTTCTTGACACTTTGAGAGCCATCGATTAAAGAATTTCCATAAAATATAGAAATGAAATTTCTCTCCGGATTTGAAAATGAAATTCATAAAATATAGAGAAGAAATTTCTATATATTAAAAAAAGAGATTAATATATATAAAAAATATTTTTTATTTATATAAACTTATTTTTATATAATATAAATTTGAATAAAAGTACATCCAACACTTTTTTTTTAGGCACATCCAACATCCTAATTTTTGTATGGTGTATCTAACATTCTAAGCTCATTTGCTCGATACATCCAGCCTAAACTGGAATAGAAATAGATCCTCTTGTTTTTTTTCAAAAAAATAAAAAAAAATTTTTTTAATTTTTTTAGCCTTTTTTTATTAAACCCAAAACACATTTAACTTTGAAAAATGAAAAATCTTTATTTTCTGCACTCGACTTCCAGCGAAAAGTTGGTGTTTAAAATCATAGATACTTGGTAATTACATAATGTTCTTACATAAAACCCTCTTGGCTTCATCTAATATTATAAGGCATTTTTAACTGACATAAAATCAAAATTTTTAACATATACCACGTCCGATTTTAATTATAAGAACTAGTTGACTAATTTGAGAAGATTAAGGAAAGAAGTTAAGTTAGTTATTTGTAATAAATATATGTTGTTTTTCCTAAAATATCCTTATTAAACAAATGTATTCGCCAGAACTACTATTATTAGAAAGACTAAATTAGAAAAAATGCATAAATTATGAGAAACAGAGTGGATTGGAATTTTATATTTATGACCAAAATAAAAGTCAAACAATGTCATATATTAAGGATCAGAAATAGTATTAAGCAAGGTACTATTATTTGTAAATACAAATTATGTTCATATCTCACAACGATTTGACTTTTCAAATTATTTAACAGGAGCTCAGATTGATCATGCTGTGCCCATGCCCCTTGGTTAAACTATCTCTGCCACTCATTTATGATCTTCTTGGAATGCACAAGAATCATAAACTTAGCTTGAAGCTTTAAAATCAACCAACAAGAATTTGGTCTAATGAAAAGGACCAGTCCCCTACAATACAATGAACTAAAGTTCAAATCTTTACTGAGAAAAGTACTAGCATTTTAATGCTCGACAGTGTCTTAACTAGGATTATCTTCAATAGAAAGATACCTATACCTCGCAGGGGAAAAAAAGCCATCCATTCTCAACTTTGTTCTCCCAAGGTCAGTGGCAATTTCATATAACAAAAACTGCACCAGCCTTAACTGGAATCCAGTACTTACAAGAAGAGTAGCATTTTTTTATTTACATCCATCAAACATTTTACTTCATGAGGTCCTGTTAAAAAAGGAAGTCCAGCAATCTACCAGATTCAGGACCCAAAAAAAGAAAAAAAATTCATGAAGCAACTGGAGCAAAAGTATACATAATATGACCATCGGCCACAAGATTTGCCACAGAAAGTTAGGTGTTTTGCCTGAAAATCGACAATAATCATCCTTCAACAATGTAAGTGCCTCTGTTGATGCTTTTGGGATGCAGCCCATCCGTGATTACCAGGAAAAAAAAAAATGGAAATGCTCTTGGGCTGTAGACCATTCATATATTTTTAAACGATATTTGGGAAAAATTGCAGATGATTCCCTGTTCTGAGTGTGAAATATCCCCCAGAAGGAAAAATGTCTGATTTCAGTGCACGAGACAGTGCTTGCAAAAATTGGAGCGAAGACCAGCACCAATGTAAGCAGCAGTACTAGGAATCGGTTTTCAACTGAATTTTCCCTCAAAAGACAATGAAGATACTGAAGATTATTACCCAGGATTCATTTTATGAAGCTCGAACCAATCGAGCAGCAAAGGAGCCATCCAGTGAATGTTTTACTGGGTTGGAGAAATAGAAGCCACGGTCCGTCACAAAATCAGGCGGAACAAACCTATCTACGGCATCGATGTGGAAATCCTGAATCCCATGGAGAACAGTAAATTAGCATTTATGTTTTAACTTCATAATAGAAACCAAACCATGACTAGTCTTCCCAAAAGAGGTTACATATAGCCAAAGCATTTGATGGTCCATTATTTTATTCGACAGCTTTCCTGTAACATGCCCAGTATTCAATTTCTCTAAATCTCACAAGAAGCTCAAGACGACTAGGCACAAGTGGGTCCAAGAACAGGAAATAAAGTATTTGAAAATCTTAGACTCCAATGACAACTTACTGGATGTCTTGCAAGAAAAGCATCCACCCTCTCATCATTCTCTTCGGGATCTATGGAGCACGTACTGTAGATTAACACTCCACCTGGGTTTACCAATCTACACAAGCAAAAAGATGTTACATGAAAGACAATAACAATGAATTGATCCCCCTTACTCAACTTTACCACTAGTCACCATTATAGAGAGTTCTTCATCCAAAGATTCACTGAACTGATAATAGTTCTCAATCAGCCATTCATAGAAGGCAATTTTCAAAACCAGAACTAACTCTCATGATGTGCAAATAACAACTGAAACGGTAGTCATAAGTCATAAATCAAGATTTTTAGCCATTGCGTCTGAAAAAAATTCTACACACCTTATAAGAAGCTCAATATAGTAGCTACCAAGACAAAGAAATCATAACTTTACAAATCCGTGCACCTCTCATGAATTAATACATGAATAGAGGACAGTTTTTTTAAAAAAAAAAAAATTTAAAAATTGGCCTTACTTGGATGCTGCATCTAGCAGCTCATCCTGTAATTTCTTTAATTCTTCCATGTCCTCTAGCTTCCGGTTCCAGCGTAAGTCCGCTCTCTTGAAAAGCCAAAGATTAAAAAAAGGTTTGTCAGCGAGAAAAGAAACCGGAAGCAAGATGGGTGATCGCAAGATGTTTAATATAGTACCTTGGAAAGAACACCAAGTCCGGAGCAAGGAGCATCCAACAAAACTTTATTACACTTAAGTGGTTTGCTATCCTAGAATTTCAATACAAAGCCAACTTATTAAAAATAAACAGATTCTGAGCTTTGAAATGTAAGTTTAATGACTTACAGGTAACTCACGAAGATCAGCATGGATGGCGGTAATGACACCATCAACTTGGTGCAATTTTGCTGTCTCTTTAAGAATTCTCAATCTACCACGATTTACATCAATTGCAAACACCATACCTGGAACAAATAATCTTCTTCTTAGCACACATATTCGTCAGGTGGAGGGACACTTGTGATTCAACGTCTCAGCAAGACAGATCATTGACACTAACACTGCCAGACAGCTTATATGACTAAGGAGAGTAATATCTGGAAATAGCTAGCATTTTTTTTCTCTGACACAGACAGCAAGTTCTAATGTTTGGGGCACATAAATGGGTGAAAATTTAAACTGCTCTAATATAAAGAGGTCATGCAAATAATTGTGGTTGCCAAGGACAAAGGCTAACTTGGGGGAAATTTATTAAAATTCTTCAGGATGGATGTCTTTTATGGAGAACAAAACATTACTAAAAAGTTTATCATAGTCTCTAAACCAAAAGAAATCCCACATGGTTTTCAGATGTTCAATCTCTTTCGTAAGAGCTAGTGATACCTTGACCACGTAAGTGAGAGGCCATGTACAGAGTCTTTCCGCCAGGAGCAGCACAGCAATCAACAATGACTTCACCAGGCTGAGGATCCACAACAGAAACTACCAGACCTGCAATGGAGAATGTACAATCCATTTTATGAGGATAGAGGCTTGTAAGAATTATTTTCAAAGAAAAACCATGGTTGAAAATTTTTCTTATAATCAACAAGCGGGTCACATATATCCTATCCAGTTTGGCCCCTGAAAAGAAGAATGTGGCCTATCAAGCAAAAGGAAATCCTTTGCAAAATCTAAAAGCCTACTAATATATAACCACAAATATTTACAGCTGATTATTTCTGATAGATCATCAAAATAAGGCAAAGGCCACTTTTCTGAGAGAAAAGAAGCTTGAACATTATAGTTAACCCTTCTATCAGATAAGATGAAAAGATTACCTGCGCTCTCATCCTGAACTGAGCATAAACCCTTCTTAAGCAGACCAGCATGAATGACAATCTATAAGGGCAAAAAATAAAAGAAAAGGTATAAATAGTGAAGAACCTGAAGAACAACAAGACTTCAATGTCTCCAGTGTGAAATTAGGGGACCCCCCCCCCCCAGGGGGGTGATACCCAAAGTAGATAGCTCAGGCGGAAATGACACTATCTAATAAACCTCTTAGGCTATTGCATAAGTTAGAAAGCACACAATATATAAAGTCCCGCCCCATCAACTGTCTACTAGGGATATTTTCTTTATCATCTATTCTCCACCTGCTTCACTTATTCTATCCTTCATCTCTCTGGATTTTTACCATTTATCAGTTTATGGCTCCTTAAAAGGTTATTAGCCCAGTTAGGAAACTCAAAGATCATAACACTCTTATAATCAACTCATTGTCTAATTTTCATACCTGTAGCCCAGTTTTGATGCGAACAAATTCATCCAAATGTGATGAAGGCGTGTGCGGGACCTGAAGTTCAATAAAACAGACTTAAATTGGGAGTGAAATAGATTACACAAGGACAGTAGGTAAATTAGAATTATGGTATGCAGATCAGTAGCAGATACATTAGCCACAGCCCACAGAGAAGAAGGAATTCATTCCAAAGGAATTCAAGGAAGACGAAATGTAAAATTTTTATAACAACTCTAAAAGTACAGAAAGATCATGTGGATTATAATTTTAAGCAGAAGTTATCACTGCATGGAATAATGGTAGTACCTTCAATGCATTAAGCTGTGCCACAAGGTCAGCTCTTGAAAAACCTCTTGCGCGGTTTGCCCTAAAATTTGTATTAGCATAGAGCTTGAATACTTCATTTGCCCTGTCATACACCTTGTACTATTTTGGGAGGAGCAGAGAATACAAGAAGAAGCAGTCACTAACCTTAAACTGTAACTGGGTTCACTGTTGTTCCAGATCATCAATTTGATAGCTTCTCCCTGCCCAAGATGCTTTGTCCATCTTCTTACCATCCACTAAGAAAGAAATAATAAGAAGTAAATTTAGCCTCCATTTTCATGAGAACGGCTATCATAAAAAAATTCCGTGAACAAAATTTCTCACCCTCTCTACATTACAATATTTATTTGGATGGACATTAAAGTCTTCATTGTCATAACTAGCTTTTTGTACAAGACAAAAATCCCAACCATTAACTATCGACTCAAGTTATATGAGAGAAGACGCAGCACTCAAACTGTTTAGTTTCTCAAAACCTCATACACAAATTTGATAAAACTAAACACTGAGATAGTACTAATATGAGTCCATTTAGAAAGCACTACAGACATAAACTTGGGCAAATGATGTATTAAGCATACAATTTTCAAATTTCTTTGTTGAAGTGCAAAGACATTTTGCATATCTTATGCTAATACACCTTTTCCAGATGATGATCTAGACAAATAGTAAGAAGCAGGGGAAGTCCAATAAAAATATGATCATCTTTAAATGAGTATGATAAAGTTTCATAAAACAAAATACTCAATCAATTATCAATCCAGCGATAGTGAGAAGTACTAGTAATGCTGGCCAGAGGAAAAAATATCTGTTTATTCCTTATAAGCTACAGGTTTCCAATTCTAGACTTATCCAAACCATGAGTGATGAAAAGAAATGAGAGAATAAAAAACTCACAACTGGATGAGAATACAAAGTAGCAAGAGCACGCGCTTGAGCACGGTCATCACCCTCCACTTTGGGCAAAGGAAGGCTTTCATTTTCCTGTAAGCCAAATATTAGTGAAGTTAATAAATTATTTATAGTTTTCAGCTCATTTCACCACAGTTTATAACATGGCAGAAAGAATACCTTAAGCACTGCAAGCTTTCGAAGGATTCCATTGACCATGTTGCCAGCACCAGGTCTGAGAGCAACTTTGGCAAGCCTAACATTCTGCATTCCATATGACAGGAACAATAAAACAATTGAGGTAAAGAAAGAAGGAAAGTGAGAAAATAGAAAGCAAAAGGTACTATACAAGAGCAAATCAAGAGGATTATACAGTGCAGATATATCAGCAAAAATTTGAAAATTCAACAAATAAGAATCCTTCTAAACAGAAGTTCTATTTGTTTTCTGATATCTGCTCATATAACAAACCGACTTATTCTCCAAGGAAACAATACACAAATGAGCAAGTAAATTACCTCATCAACAACAGCATAAGGTGGCATATCTAACTGGACAATCTCATAGAAGCCAACCCGTAGAATCTGAGAATGAAAAAAACACTAAGATCAGTAATTAGGTGCTCAAAGAGTAGATGACAAATTCCATGGTTTCACATACAAAATCTATATTCGATCATGATGAACCGCGTGAGAGTCATGATTCAAAATATTCTTGTCTAATCCCATTTACTTGTATAATAATTTTTTCATATAATTAGATTACTTGTATAAACATGTTCACAAGAAGTACAGAACCTTAAATCACCTGCAACAGTAGGGGTTCCATGCTAGATATATCTTTATCGTGACTTATTGAACTAATCAAATGATCAAGATATCTTCTCCAACGAATTGTTCCCCCTACAATGTCTGTAACCTTAGTTGAAAACAAGAATGGAAAAGAAAAAAATCAATACAGTGACTCATGAGTGCTGCAGGACAGATAAGAACTTAATAGATCTACCATAATACTCCTCTGGTCCTTAATATAGGGCCCAATTTTTGAGTTGATTTTGGTCCTAAATATAAGACCCATTTATCATATTTATCAATTTTCTCTAAATTACCCCTATAGATACTCCCTCAACCATAATTAAGTAAAAGAGAGAGTGAGAGGTATTAAGAAAGATGATTATGGTGTTTTAGGAAAAATGTGTCAATTTTCTTATAATTAACTAACTTACCTAACTTCTTTAATCTAATCAAATTAGTTAAATGGGTCTTATATTAAGAACCGGAGGAGTACAACTGTTTTGGATGGGTTTAAAAATAATTTACCTAGATTCAGTCTAATTAATAAATAGCATCAAAGTACAAAATGAAAACCAGAGAATGAAGTGGAAGTTACAACCAGCCTGAGATCTTGATCATTTAACTGCCGGGTGCGGAAGCCAAGAGTTCTTTCAACATATGCCATCTCATTCTCACCTGAACCTTTGCCTTTCTCATTGAGAAGGTCAGCAAAAGCACCTCCAAACTCTATCCTCATCAACCTAACCGCTGATACTGCACGTAGTAGATAAAATTGAAAAAGGATGAATCCGATTAACAAGTGACACTCTCCTTAAGTAGCGTGACTCCAGCTAAATAGTAAGAGTAAGTGATAGCAGAGCAGAGACAAAGACAAGTATACCTGCTCTGTGAGGAGAAACCTCCAAATTCAGCTTCCGGGTTTTGAGCAAGCGATTGGCAGCACCTGGAGTTCAGTCAGTTTCAGTAGTAATAAGCCAGAGAAGCAGTGAAAGCTGAACAATTCAGTGAAATTATAATTCTCACTCACTAAATAGAAGCAAGAATCCGAAAAATGACTTTTTTAAGGGAACTTGAGCTACCTTTTCTGGTTGTGGAAATGGATATCTTTGACCCATTGGTTGACTCACCAAGCTTCAGGGCCTTAGAAGAAGAAGCTGAAATTTTGTTGGGTTGGAGGGGGCAATAGAGACCGAGGCACAGCAATTGCGCCATTGATGTTTAGCTTCTATCTTCTCCTCCCCAGTGCCGATACCATGGACCCTTGAGGATAAAAAAGAAGAAGGGAGAATTAGAATCAAATCCCGTAGAAGAGAAATAATTATTAAAAAGTCTCAATAACAATCTGAACAGCTTATAACGACAAGTCTTACAGAGGAAATGACAACCTCTGAAACTTGTTTTTTAATTATTTTTGTTGCTTGGAATCTCATTATAATTCTCTCTAAAAAAATTTCGATATTTCACTTCCGGTCGATTTTCCCGGTCGATTTACAAATTAAGTGATGAAATTTAACATTTTCAACTCTTTGGTTTAAATTAAGTTTTTAGCTTAATATTAGAGCAACCAATTAGAATTTCAAAAAATTTGTTCAACATATAACCAGATGAATGCATAATGTAATTTGTGTCTATGTGGATTTTGGAGAAGGAGAATAATAATTAGGTCTGAGAACTTCAATTTAATCATAGTTTAATTTCCTTAAAAAAAAACTTTGCATAATAAGTTGAAAATAACAATTGGAAAGATTCAAATTTTAGTTGTGAATTATGATATTTCATTGTTATTAATTCATACTTCTTTTTAAAACTTAAACTCTTATATTAATAATTATCAAAATTAATATTTTTAACTTTTTTAACAAAATCTTCTGAGAACCTAACCGTAATGAATTTAAAGTTTTGGCATTTGATTGTCTTTATCCCATAAAATTACAATCTCAGGATCTCATTAAATAATTAATCTCAACACAGCTTTTCACATCAGGAAAGTTGCCGCCTGACATGAATATTTGTAACGAGGACATGAAATGTTATTCTTCTGCTATTTTCATAGAGGGCCACTTTAATTGAAAGTATTGTTATGAATGGAGTTTTAGTGCTATGAATGCTTTTCTGTTAGTGGCAAATGGTAACTTCGATCATGTTTGCAGTAACCTCAATCTTCTTGTTCATTTTGATTCTAGTGGTGCTTGAAAAATATGTCAATTTTCTGCTTAAATCTATTTCTGCTCATTCTTTCTCATCCTGAGATGTACTCTGTAATTTTATATAATTGGTATTTTAATTTAAAACAAACAACGGAAGGCTTATTGGGAGAATTCCATAAAAAGAATATTAAAATTATTAAATTTTTAATAAAAAATATCTAAAAAAAAAGTTTTATTTTCTTACAAATTAAATTTGTTGTTGTTGTTGGGAATCTCTTAAACTTATTCATGGGAATGTGCTAGTTGTATTTTCATGACATATCTTGTCAAAGATCAATCACTATCGAGGACTCTACAACTAATGTTGGGGTTGTCATTTTTTGATGGGCATGTTGACCACGTCTCTTTTTAAAGAGCAACGCAGCTTCATCTTAAATTTGCAGAATCTCTTTATGTTAACATCAAAATTAAAAAAAAAAAAATCTTTATCGCTTTCTATTCCCTTCTTTTTTTTTTCAATCACCGTCTTACATAAGTACATATTCATCCTTTTTTATTAGCAGTAATCTGATCAGTGCTCCCTCCATCATGTGTTAAACAAGGAAATGCAATCTAATTCACAAGAAATGCTTGTACAATTAGAGGTTTTAAAAGAACAAAACTTACAACAGATTATTTATATCTATTATATCAAGTTTTCTAATCATACTTGTTCCTTTTGTTTTATTTGAATTTATAATTAAATATTAATATTTTAAAATTTAGTCACATGGTTATGTATAATTAAAGAAATTGACACAACAAACAAAAGTTGGTTCAATTGGTGAGGAGTCGATTTATAACCCACAAGGTTGTGAGTTTGAATCCCGCTCTCGACGTGAGAACTTTGTTGGTGGACAATTTGTAAGTAATTCTATAAACGCTTTCTAAACCTGAAGACATGCCCTGGTCCTGGTGAGTTCCCGAGACCCAATTCATCTAAACTTTTATTCACAAAAAAAAGAAGAAATTGACATAATACATATAAAAAATTTAATGTAAAATATATTTAAAATTGTCAAATTTAATTCGGCTTATTATATTTTTTTTTTGCCATCATTATCTGATCCTTTTACTCCATTGATCGTTTCAAAATATAAGTCTTTTTGAAGGAAAGATTTTGTCTCATTTTACTTGTCTATTTATAAGTTCAAATCAATATTTATTATTAAGGCCAAAAAAATAAATATTTATTATTATCATTATAATCATCATCATTATTATTATTTCTCGTCTTAAGGAATAAAATTTCTTCAAATCAGTAGGATTATGATTCGTGTTGTCGCACTCAAAATTTAATTTTTAAACTGAGAAATTAAATCAAACAGAGTTGTCCAAAATTTTTAGGAGTAAGAGTTTTAGAAAGCTTATATTTTGTTTTTCAATTTGCAATCCTTTTTTCGGTCAAAAAAATTTGGAATCCTTTTTTTTAATATAAAATATCTTTTTGGACTGAAATATAAAATATCTTTATCGATGCAAATTCCAACATTGCATTGCAATCCACGAAATGCCTAGGAAGACGTGGGAGACGGTACTCATTTCTTGAAACAAAATAAAACTAATAAATCGGTAAAAGACAAATTAAATTAAAATGCCAATATAACTTGGGATTTTTGATGTGGAGATTATAACACATAATTGCAATAAAAATATGATAACTATAGTGAGGAGAGCCTGTATAGATTATAAGTGTTGAGTTTTATTGGGGACTTTTCATAAAAATATTATATTAAAGACAAATTTATGTAAGTGGGGACTTTTCATAAATTTATTACAGATAAAATAAAGAAAAAATTGTTGAAAATCCCTAATGAAAATTTTATTGCCCAGGATATTTGAAATCGGTAGGTTGTTGAACGGGAACAATTTATTTTTAATTAGTGTGTGACAAAAATCTCAAATATGTGAGAATTTATTCTACTTTGAAATTTTTTACACATAATTAAATATATATCACAAATAGTTGAATGAGAGTTGCACCATTAAAATTAAAGATTCATTTTGTTTTAGTCCCCAAATAAAAAATATTTACACATAATTAAAAATATGTTGTGTGAGTTGTATGTAGCTAAGAACTCACAAATTTTCGGATACGTTTGGTCAATAAATTCTTAATGATGAATTTTCAGCAATTTTTTTAAATAAAATATATTGTAATTCTAAATTCTAAATTATAGATTTATATGAATCGATATGGACAGGCTGCCCACAGAGGCGAGCCCCAAGACGCCTCACCTTCCAAGAAAAGAAAAAAAATACAGCGTCGTCGATGATTTCCGTTTGCCAGCTCATCAATTCCGTTCTTTTTTAACCCTTCCTCGGTATCTGTCACCTTGCCGTGCTGACTCTGGATTTAACGGCAGATTTCCATCTTTCCGTTCCCGTTTTACACATAACGGCGTTCGTGCCAAGCCAAAATGGAGGAGCACTGTAACGCCGTTTCCTTAAAACCGTCCAATACTCCAAAACTCCGTCGGGACAGGCCCATTTTTGGCCCAAACTTATACAAATCATTTTGCTCCATGTCACAGTGCTTCATCTTTCTTTCTTTCTCTCTCTGAATTTTCTTCCTTATTCCTTTTATATATTGCCATTTCGAACTCTTTTTTTGCCTTCACCGGAAAAGTTTTTTCTCTCCAGGATTGATGTCGGTATGTGGAATCTTTTTAATCATTTCTATTTTCTTCCGCTCTTCTTTTGAATATATATTGATGTATTGGGATGATTTCCTTTCTGATTATTGCCATTTGTATTGCTCCGTTGCATACGATTTCTGATCGAAGATTCATGTTCAGTTTGTTCCCCGTTTGCCTAGATGGTTCCGTTTTGTATCTGTTATTCCCTTTTGGTTCAAATGATGTTTCGATTTATTTGCAGGTTCGATGTATTCATTTTTTTTAATTTATGGATTTTCGGAATATGATCCTTTTTTCCATTATTTTAGTTTGAAGACGTCGATGATTAGCTCTAAAGTTCCTTCTTTTGTTTTTCACTTGGTGGGGGTGTGATGTATATGAAATTTCTTGGATTGTCGAAGCTGGTGTTATTTCTGAACTAAATTTCCTGTGATGTCCGTCTTGTAATATGATCCTGTGATTAATGAAGGAAGTTCATGCTATCGAATTCCCCTAAGTTTTTTCAACATTTTGTTTATTGGTTATGATACTTTTGAAAAGTTGTATCATTTTGTCCACAACACTCGACTTTGATAAGAGTTTTGATCTGATGCTCCATTATAAGAATATGGAAGATTACGGCTCCTACGAATTAGCAAGGCTGCCACGTTTTGAGTATATGTTCCTGAATTGAAATTGTGTAGTGACGGAACAAATTATTCTTGGTATGCTGCTCTTCAGCATATGAATTCAAATCAATAGGTTATATACGGTTCGTTTCTGTAATCCTGTTATATGGGGATTTGAGGTTGATGGAAGTAAATGTAAAAATTCAATTTAACTTCAAGATATTTTTGTAGTATAACCACATGTTCTGAGATATTGTTTGCAACAATTGGTTCTTCTTCATTATTTTTGGGTGAACTTTGGAGTTCTCATCTGTTTGATATTGGTTCAACACAGTATTTTTCCTACTGCTGCGTTTGCAGCTTTGTTGTCTTAAAAAGGGAAAAAATTGTGATTCTGATGTGTCAATTTTGGCCTGAAAGTAAAATCTGAGTTAGATGAAGCACTTGTCCTGATTGTTTTTTCGTTTACCAAAATTTTAGAATCCTCTGTACCAGGATAGAGACCAGATTTGATTTAAACTGGCAAGGATGGTTGCTTTAATCACAATTTCATCTATTAGCTTTATTTTTCTGTGTCAGTGGTCTTCAGTATTGGGACTGGAATTTAGTAGGATAATACCTTAAGTAGGTGTGGTTATGCTGTCAAGTAAACTTTGTGGGATGTTTGCATTTCTAGACCAAACATTTAATTGTCCTTAGCTTAATTCACCATTCATAAAAGAATGTGTTGGATGTACATGCAGTTGTTGTCTTTTTATGAATAGAATTGATTGGTATTCGTTGTATTATGCAAAAACTTGTCTCAGAGTTTAGATGGAAGAATCATCACTCAAGATTATGGTTGGGAACTAAATGATTGTAGATTCCATATCCTTAGTATATTGGAAAATCTTCAAAGTTCCATGGATAATCTTCTGTTCCATAGATAATTACTATTGTAATGTACTTTCATTACAGAAACATTGGTTTTCTGTGAATTTCTCCTTTAATGAGTTGCTTAGAAGTTGATTGTATCCAGCAAATAGTCATAAAAGTGCCCTTTTTATTTGGTTTGTAGCATTTGAAATTACTTGTTCTTTACCGTTTGGCTCATATTTAGTTATTTTTAGCACTTTCAAGAACCTTATATGATGGCAGGTTTCCTTGCCAATAAAAGTTACTTTTTAAAAGTTCTCTGGATTTTCAAATGCTTAAGCATAACATGGATGTATGTTCTACTTTTGGAGTCTGTAATTTAATGGTTACTTATCTGATTATCCCTCAGGAAAAGGGTCGGCCACTGCCAAAATTTGGTGAATGGGATGTCAATGATCCTGCCTCAGCTGAAGGATTCACCGTGATATTTAACAAGGCTAGGGATGAGAAAAAGACAGGTGGCAAACCTGAGTCGCCTGGAAAGGCTGATCCTCAAAGCAGGCCCGCAGTAGAACCTGCCAAAACGCAGAGTGTAAGCTGTTCTTGGTTGAATCTTACTTTTTCGTAGAATTGTCTGTTTCTGAACTTATTCAAGTTATTCAATGAGATGTATTTTGTCCTCTTGAAGATGCTGGTTTGATTAGATGAAAGGTTTTAAGCTTACGTTTACACTGATTCTGCTATTTATTTGTTCGTTTGCATGTATGCATGCATGTATGTATTTAAGAAACAATATAGTGGTCGAAGTGATCTATTGTATATTTTGACAGAGAAGATAGTCAGGACCCAAGCCTTTGCCAACTGGATCCAAGACCTGTTGTTAAAACAGTGATCTATATAGGTTATAACCTCTACTGTTTTCTTTGTTAGTACAGTTCATAACTACAGTAGATCTCTATGCCTTGCAACTTTATTGAGGGTCGCATCCACAATACTGTTGCATTTGAATTTGAGATATAATTTCCCTTATAATAAACTCTGGTTAGGATGGAGGTGAGGGGGCAATTGTCAACACCCAGAGGAAAAGAGAAGTAGGCTGTGTCTGATGAATCTAATATTTTTGTCTCTGTATGGCTGATCTAACGTAGGGGTCCTTTGTTTGACCTCACTGTCAAACTTGTTCTTCTTATTGATAGTTGTGCATGCTTCCATCTGTTATCCTGGTAGCTTTTCTTCTTTTGTTCATCCTGTTCTTGGGGAAGGGGTGGGGTCGGTCGTTTTACTGCAGTTGGTTTTGTTAGAGTTTAGCTGTTGAAATGGAAAGAAATAATCATCAATCAGGCTGCATTTACTCACCTATACCCCTTCTTGAATGGTTTCTCTGGGTTTTCAGAAAAAATGGTTCTGCTGCATGCAACCTCCTGCAGAGTCATAGCAACAATGGTTGCCCTGGTGTAAAAGCGGTGAACAGAAGAAAACATTTGTGTAACTAGTTCCACCCCTAAATTATCTCGAAGACATAGGAGCTTTAGATGAATTCTGCAGGGGGTTTGAAGATTATTTGCCATAGTACTGAGTTGCAGTTTGGGGGTGTGCAAAGAAGACAGACTATTATTATTTGTATCTATGTGTATTAATGTTGTGGTTTATTGTTAGAATCGCAGATTGCTTACTGTTTCGCCTCGTCCTTTGTTATGAACTATAGAGAACCCTGTCGGGCACCTCGTATTGTTGGACCATGGACCGAGGTCCTGCTTTATTTTATGAACTGATTTTATTCCCTTGGTTTTATTGCCTGGATAAAGCTTAGAATTTGATACCTCTCTTAGCCTGTTTCTATCATTGTTGGTCGGTTGTCATTAGCTGGCTGTCTTTTCCCAGCTCATACTTCGATTCGATTTCAAACTAGGGAAATAGATTATTTTTGGTTGGTTAGCAAATTAATTGGAGATATTTCAAATTATAACAAAATGATTAAATCAAGTGGTTAGAAATAATTGGCTTGGGGCCAATAAAACTGCCTGTGATGTGCGTATCTTTCATTCTGCTAACAACCTGTGTTATTGGTTTTGCCTTCATGTCTTGGACGAATAGGATGGGCCTGCAGGTGCTGAACCCTTGGTATCTTTTGGGCCTTGGAAGTATCTGTAAAACTATATAGCCTTTCGTAACTCCGACTTCATTAGACATGTGTTTCAAGTAAAATAGTGTAATTATTTAAAAGTCTTAGTGACAGGGTGAGCAGCAAGGATTTTGTTATCATTTGTTATACTGAAACTTGTCATTAACTTTTTATCGAGTTATTGGTAATTACATTTCTTCTCCGCCAAAATTGATCTTTTGAATTCAATTGGTTCTTGTTAAAGACAATGGTGAATGTATTCATGCGTATTGTAACTGTGTATTTCACTCAAAGTTACGACATTGACCAAAATGACAGTAAAAGACTAAAAGTAAAACTATGTTTCCTTGTTTCTTGTTGAGAAAAGGACTCTGTGACACCTGAATCTAAAAGAGAACCCTGGAGACTTGAATATGGTATCTTTAGAAGCAACACGGTGGCCTTGTTCTCTTGTTACAGCGATCTATTGTGCTTCCCAACCACTAGACCACTCATTCACAAGTCAAGCGCTAAGAACCATGCATAAAGAATAATGGCGGCATTGCTATTTTACTTTCTTTTCTTTCTTTTTCTTTTTTTTTGGGTCTCCAAAGTCAAGAGACAAGAGGCACAGTATTCCGCAGGGTACCTTGCATTGTACTTCTCTCTCCAGTGTCACTGTGAAGAGTACTCCACTAAGCAATTAAGACTTTTGATGGCACTATGGCAGTACCCCACCTGGAGGTTGGAGCCCCTAAAACTGATATTTTTGGTGGCATATATGCCACCAAGCAAGACTCTCCTTTTAGAGAAAGCCACTTCTACCCCAAAAAAAATAAAAGCTGGAAAACCACTTTTATGCTATCTCTGCTTTTAATTAGGATTATGCTAGACTCGAGATTAATTTTTGTTAGGCTAGGAGCGTTTAACAATTACATTTTTCAGGATTCAAATCTATGTTTTTCTTTTTGTAAGATAAGATCGCCTACCATTTTAACTAAATTATTGGTTCTCATTCATTTTTGTAAGTACAATAATTTACGCATTCCTGTATGTACAATAATTCACTTTAAACCAATTATGAGCGTGAACTAATTTGGATATTCTAGTTTTTTTTATTAAAGTAAGAATAAGTTGATAAATTCTGAATCGTCCACGTGAATAAATGATTGATTTTTACTTGAAATAAATTTCATTTTTTTTTAGTCATAACACGAAGAAATCCATACACTTGTCGTCATCGCATCCTTAGTACACTTATTTAGTCATTCAGTGAATTTTAGGGTGTGTTTGGTATGAGGGATTTGGAAGGGAGGAGAGGGAAGGGAAGGGATTTTAATCATTTTTCCTTGTTTGGCAACACACAAATTTTAGGAGGGGAGGGAAAATTTTTTAAAATTTCCCCTCCCCTCCCCTCCTCAACCTTCCCTCCAAAATTGAGAGGATTTGGAGGGAAAGGGCAATATTTTGTCATATTATGACCATTATGCCCATATTTTGTCATGTTGTGACCATTATGTCTATATTTTGTCATATTGTAACCATTATGCCCACACCTTAAATAAAATAAGAGCAAAATTATCCATATTAAAATATTTTTCCCTCCCCTGCCCTCTTTTTTTATAAATCCAAACAAGATAATATTAAAATCCTTCCACTCCTCTCCCCTCCCCTTCCTTCCATTAAAATCCCTCCCCTCCCCTTCCTCTCATTGAGCCAAACATACCCTTAAAGTCACCATCCTGCTGCATCTTCTGCTTGATGTCACTTTTTTTTTTTGGGAGAAAGAAAAACTATTTAGGCCAAGGTTTGGATCACCCATGAAATAGGATTTTAACTTAAACCTGTGGAAAACACTCAAAGCAGGCCTACATGGCTCAGTCCATTAATCTAACACCAGACGACAAATTAGGCCTCTGCCGTACTACATTTATTGAGCTTTTTTGTTAGCAAATGTTATGGGAAAAACATATTATTCATGAAACATAATATAAACTAATTAAAACTTCGGTAAAGATATAAGAGCCTAATTAAGACCTAAGTGATGAAGTTCATGCCTTTGAAGAGTACACAAGCACTTGAAGCAAATATTGTAGATTTAATGGCAACAGAGGTTGGCAATCCTCCTTTGTCCTTCCTAAAGAAAAGGCCTTCGTATATTGGCACATTGATGAGAACAAGAACCCCACACAACATAATCTGCAAGATCATCTTCTCCAAAACCCTAATAAAACCATCTTCACTTATAAGAGCATCCATTGATACGCCAAGGAAGCAAAATAGATTGAGCATAGCCAGTGTTGCTAAGAGAGTGAACATCGGAGAAGAGCCTCCAAACTCCATAATCTCCTTCTCGTAGCGTTGGGAAGCGTCTTGTTCTGCAACTTTAGTAGTGATTGCGAAGCCTGAAGCTAGAGGAAACCCTAGAAGCTTCAAGATACTCTCCACGAAAGCAAAGAAGAAAGAGCTTGTTCTCTTGTAAAGCCACATTCTTTGTTCATTCCACCATCCTTGAACCGTGCCTCCACAGCTCAAAAACTCCACCAAGCTGCTAGTGTTTCCCGCAAGTATTACATATGCGAAAGGTATGAACCATGGGCTTGATATCTGATTAAAAAATGCACACCAACACAATTTATTCTGATCTTATTCTGTGCCAAGCGTTAATAAGTAGGCTAAGTAGAGATAGATGATACGTACCTTTGGAAACAAGGGAATGCCCTTAAGTAGACAAAGCGAAGGGACGATGCAGTAATAGAGAATTGGCAAGGACTTAGGTGCCCAGAAGCAATAGTTACAGTATACCATTTGGAGACCTACACTGAGTTTTCCATAAGCATGCCATGGTGGACTGTACTTTGAAACCAAAATCTGAAAGTCACCCTCAGCCCATCGCTTCTGCTGAACCAGTACTTGTCCCAATGTCGTTAATGGCGCTCCTAAGAATGCTTTCCTTTCTGGATTGCAATACACTGATCTCCACCCTTTGCTGTGTATAGATAATCCTGTCATCACGTCTTCCACTGCACATCCATATATTAAACCCCTCTACACTCAAAATTTTATTCTTTATTAGTAATTGTAAACTGCGTGTAATAGAAATTACATACAAATATACAGAGAGAGAGAGAGAGAGAGACCTCTGATCCCCACAGTGTGTTTTGTTCGTAGGTGCAACTAGCAAGAGGCTTTGATTCTTGTTCTTGTTTTTGCAAGCTTTCTTCCATGATGAGTTGGTCATCATCATCGTTGTTCCAATCATTGATGGCATTGTGTTGATCACTGAACTTCCTTCCACAGAGAATATCTCTCCTGTGAAAGCTGCCTGTTCCGATATACAATGAGCCCCCACAACCATCAGAGCCATGTGCTTCCAACTTCGATCACATGCACAAATTAAACTAATTAATCTTCTTCCAATTTACGAAATGTAATTAGGAATAATACAAAAATTAACCCAATCATCAATCATGCTTGTGGTTATAACATATATATGCCACGCAGATCTAAACCTTAATATTTGCAGTTCCAACCTTACATAAAAAAAAACAAAAGAAAAAAGAAAAAAGGACAAAGACTGCAACTTGGATATTGTTTGATAAATTCTGTTAACTGACTTTGTTGAATACTTGCACATGATTCGCATACAAGTCATTCTTGGTGACACCAACGAAGTTCTGTGGGAATTGCACAAAAGCTATTTCATGGCCTTTCTCTTCATCCATGAAGAAGCACAGTGCATCCCTCACAGATTCTGAGCTATTAGACGCCATGTCACAGTCCACGTTCAGAATAATTTTCCCGTTGCTAATCTTTGAAGAAACCCTTATCTGCATTTTTAACCAATAAATCAAATTACCATCGTGATGACTTGTGTATAAATGAATGCATGTATATATGTATTGTGTGATGAAACTTGATGCATTATATATATACCAATGAATTCATGGCTCCAGCTTTAAAATGATGGTGATATTGGGATCTCTTCTCACGAGCCAAGTACACCAGAGTTGGCATAACAGACCCATCTGCATCTTTCGAGTTGAGTGAATCTTTTGTATGAAGCAATATCTAATAAGAATTATATCAAATTAAGCATATATATTAGATAAAGAGGCAAAGTGGTTGAATAGAATTAAAACCATTACTGCTCAAGCTAATTATTAATACTGATGATATTATATATATACTTTGAGAATTGTATCGTGGTCACGTCGAGAAGAATATGCATCCCACTGAGAAAATCCCTTGTGCATTGAACGTACGTCTCTGGGCACTTGTCCCGACTTGGTTGCATCTTCGATTCGTCTTTCCATATCATCATATAGTTTCTACATTATTGAACATAACATAGAGGAAGGAATCAGAGAAACCCATCGTACAAGAAAGCATAAACAAATAAAGATTTGTACTACATATTAATTACCTTAATGGCTGCCAATTCCTGGATCCAAATAGAGTCGTCATCATGATCTGAAGAAGTAGGTAAGCACAAGCCATCCAAATGAGCAGAAGGAGACCTGGGTTCCATATGGAATCTCTTGCAGAAGGGAAGCCATTTCTTAGCAAAAGAACGAGTTTCTAATAAAGCATAGAAGGTAATCTCTGAGGCAGCATCGTCTGAGAGATACACACTCAACTTGTCAGAAGGATAATCATAGGCCATTACTGATAACACTGTGTTCATCACCATCATTGGTGGCTCTTTATCTGGGTCTGCCGTGCACACAAACACGTCTACTCCCGGTAAACTATGCTCATATCTGTTCAAAACACACAAGTTATTTGAAGATCTGGAAACTTATTTTATATATATAGGGTTAATATAATCTTTAGTCTTTCAAGTTTGTTCTTATTTTAGTTTTGGTTTCTTAAATTTTAAACTATAAGTTTTGGTCCTTCAAGGGGTAACATAGTCCAGATCTTTATTGAATTATACGAACCAATATTTTTAATGAAAAAAAACTTAAGAAATTAAATATGATTTGAAATTTGAAAGACCAAAATCAAAATAAGAGTAAACTTGATGAACAAAAAATTATATTAACCATCACATGTGTAAATAAATTATCACCTCTGCTATTCAAAACATCTACAAGCCAGTAAATTTAGCCTTTTTCTATACTTCGTGTATCTCAAAATCTCATGAACAGATTTTGAAAGAGACTTAAAGAACTAAAATTTGCATGTGTATATAACTGAACTTGGTTAGCCAAAAGTTTAGAAACACGTGCTTTTAATGACAAATAATAATCAGATAAACAAAAAGAGAGAAGAGAAGTGAGAGTATGCGTGTGTGTGTGTGTGTGTGTGTAATTACGTACCTTTGAGAGAGTCTGTGCTTGAAGGTTTGTCTGAACACAGGATTCCATCTGAGAGCTTGGGTGAGAAGCCAGTACAGTCCAAAAAATAGTTCAGCAGCAAGCGAACCAACCCAGACGACCCAAGATTTCTCACCATCATCGTCTTCTTCTTCTTCGACCCCACCATGGATATTGAACAAGTGTGAGAATCTGTAAAGCCAGATTGAGAATATTCCGATGAATAGTGAGATAGAGAAGAGCCTGTATGTGATGAGCCACCCACCTGTGGCTCTCCTTGTCTCAAACATTGGATAAGGAATCTCTCCCTTCTTAGCCATGTGCGTTTGTTTAGCAGAGCTGCTCCAATGTGATTTGTATGGAATTGCGTCCTTTTTAACGCAAAATTTTCTTGCCCGGAATAAAATATTTCCAATTTCTTTTGAAATTATATACGTTATATATACACTTGGCATTTCATTTTGTAAAAAAAAAAAAAAATTTCACCAACAAACATTTTGACTTTTATTTTGATCTTAAGTATAAAATCTTAATTTTTTTATCTTTTATATTTATCTATTTTTTTAAGATAGTTCTTATACTTAATTAACAAGAATATTTTAGCCAATATATTTGACTAGCAAGAATATTTTAGGAAAGATAACATCTATTTATTATAAATAACTAACTTAATCTATTTAAATTAATTAATGAGCTCTCATATTAATGACCAGAAGAAATACTCCCTCCGTTCCTTATTATAAGAGACATTTGATGCTTATGAGATGTTCCTATATATAAGAGACACTTAAAAGTTGTCTCTACTTTTTTGTGTTGCTTTCTTATTTTACCCATATTTATTATCTCCAACTCATATTCTCTCTCCTTTCCACTTCTCTTTCTTTTAATAATTTAATTGTTTTCTCTCATACTTTCTCTTCTTATTAATGAGGGCATTTTTAGAAAAAAAAAATTATACTTTTTACACATTGACAAGGTGAGCAGCAAGGATTTTGTTATCATTTGTTATGCTGAAACTTGTCATTAACTTTTTATCGAGTTATTTGGTAATTACATTTCTTCTCCGCCAAAATTGATCTTTTGAATTCAATTGGTTCTTGTTAAAGACAATGGTGAATGTATTCATGCGTATTGTAACTGTATATTTCACTCAACGTTACGACATTGGCCAAAATGACAGTAAAAGACTAAAAGTAAAACTATGTTTCCTTGTTTCTTGTTAAGAAAAGGACTCTGTGGCACCTGAATCTAAAAGAGAACCCTAGAGACTTGAATATGGTATCTTTAGAAGCAACACGATGGCCTTGTTCTCTTGTTACAGCGATCTAGTGTGCTTCCCAACCACTAGACCACTCATTCACAAGTCAAGCGCTAAGAACCATGCATAACGAATAATGGCGGCATTGCTATTTTACTTTCTTTTCTTTCTTTTTCTTTTTTTTTGGGTCTCCAAAGTCAAGAGACAAGAGGCACAGGATTCCGCAGGGTATCTTGCAATGTACTTCTCTCTCCAGTGTCACCGTGAAGAGTACTCCACTAAGCAATTAAGACTTTTGATGGCACTATGGCAGTACCCCACCTGGAGGTTGGAGCCCCTAAAACTGATATTTTTGGTGGCATATATGCCACCAAGCAAGACTCTCCTTTTAGAGAAAGCCGCGTCTGCCCCAAAAAAATAAAAGCTGGAAAACCACTTTTACACTATCTCTGCTTTTAATTAGAATTATGCTAGACTCGAGACTAGTTTTTGTTAGGTTAGGAGTGTTTAACAAGTACATTTTTTAAGATTCAAATCTATGTTCTCGTTTTTGTAAGATGAAATCGCTTACTATTCCAACTAAATTATTGGTTCTCATTCATTTTTGTAAGTACAATAATTTACACATTCTTGTATGTACAATAATTCACTTTAAACGAATCATGAGCATGAACTAATTTGGATATTCTAGTTTTTTTTTATTAAAGTAAGAATAAGTTGATAAATTCTGAATCGTCCACGTGAATAAATGATTGATTTTTACTTGAAATAAAAAAAAAATTTTGGTCATAACACGAAGAAATCCATACACTCGTCGTCATCGCATCCTTAGTACACTTATTTAGTCATTCAATGAATTTTAAAGTCACCATCCTGCTGCATCTTCTCCTTGATGTCACGTTTTTTTTCCCCCCCGGAAGAAAGAAAAACTATTTAGGCCAAGGTTTGGATCACCCTATGAAATAGGATTTTAACTTAAACCTGTGGAAAGCACTCGAAGCCGGGCTACATGGCTCAGTCCATTAATCTAACACCAGACGACAAATTAGGCCACTACTAGAAAAAAGACCTTTAACGTCGTAAACTAACGGCGGTTCAGCAGAAAAACGAAGTGGAAAAAAACGCGGTGGCATTTTTGTAAATAAGTTGAAGGGGTTATGACTTTCCACGGCGGTTCTTTAAAGAACCACCGTGGAAACTATTTTTAACGGCGGTTCTTTAAAGAACCGCCGTTAAAAACACTTTCCACGGCGGTTTTATTGAAAACTGCCGTGGAAAGTGTGTTCTTACCCACTTTCGGCCGCTCGACTCCTCACTTTCCTTCTCATTTCTTCAGTGCGCCGTGGTCCCCCTCTGCCCCACCACCGTAAAACTGCCATTATCGGCCATTCCCGCCTCTAGCCCACCGTTTAAACTCCTCCATTGAGCCCTTGGAGCCTTGCCGCCGTGCGCCGCACTCCGCCGTGGTCGACCGCGCCTCCCATTTCCGTCGGTTCTTGCTCAGCCGTGGTCCACCACTGAAAACCGGTCCTACCCTCCACTATCTAACCGAAGACCGGTCCGTTGCCGCCGTCCGCCGCCGTCCGCCGCCGCCTCACTTCGCGTTTGAAGCTTCTCTGCTCTGTGAGTATCCTCTTCTTTCATTCTTTTCAATTTTTCTTGGTTTGTTGAATGTTTTAGCCATGAAAATCTGTTATATATGAAATGGGTTGTTAGTTTTACATTGTGGTTAGCTTCTATTGTTCATTTTGCATTTTTATGTGGTTGAACCGTTGATTGGTGTTAATTGGTAGGCATTAGATGTGAGAAAACCTTAATTCCTTTTTACATACTGTATTAGAAATATGTTAAAATGTTTGGAGTTGATTAGTTGTGAAGTTTTTAAATTTTTTTATAATTTTTTGATATTTATTTCGAATATTTGATAATTTTTTGTAATAAATATAAGAATTTAGTGATAAATAATCTGTTAGTTATTTTGTGTTTTTTCCTTCGTTATGAATTTTGATTGATAGTAAAGTATTGTTTAAATAATCTGTAGAACAATGGATCGTAGTTGGATGAAAGCTAGGAGAATTAGCAAGGAATATGAGGATGGGGTTGAAAATTTTCTTGAGTTTGCTCAGAGAAATGCCCCTAGTAAAGGAGATGGATTGTACTATTGTCCTTGTGTCAAATGTTTAAACAATAGTCGACGGAGTATTTCTGAGATAAAAGAGCATCTTATCTGTGATGGGATAAATTTGAGGTATACAAATTGGATATGGCATGGAGAAATTAGAAAGACTACATTGTCTGCAAATGAGAAGGTTGTGAATGAAGACTTTGGTGATAGAATTTCGGATATATTTCGTGATATAAGGTCTGAATCCTCTACACAGTTTTCTTCCACCTTTGAAACTTTGTGTAGTGATGCAGAGACACCTTTATACCCGGGGTGCAAAGATGATTACACAAGATTGACAACCGTATTGAAACTGATGAATTTGAAGGCAAGAAATGGTTGGACCGATGCTAGTTTTACGGAATTGCTTGAATTGCTGAGTGATATTCTTCCCAAAGGGAATTCACTTCCGAAACGAATGTATGAGGCAAAAAAGATTTTGTGTCCGATGGGTTTGGAATATGAGAAGATACATGCGTGTCCTAATGACTGCATATTATTCAAAAATGATTATGAAGAGTTGAATAAGTGCCCTAAATGTGGGACTTCAAGATACAAAATGAAGAAAGATGATGGTGATTATAATGAGATGACCAAAGGTTCTCCTTTAAAGGTTCTGTGGTATCTTCCAATAATACCACGATTTAAGCGTCTATTTGCTAATGCCACAGATGCAAAGAACTTGAGATGGCATTTTGATGAGAAAATATGTGATGGAAAGCTTCGTCACCCAGCAGATTCTCCTCAATGGAAAACAATAGATCAAAAATTTCCTCAATTTGGTAGCGAGCCAAGAAACCTTCGGCTAGGGCTTTGTACGGATGGAATTAACCCATATGGTAATCTTAGTAGCACACACAGTGCTTGGCCAGTGCTCCTCGTAATTTACAACTTGCCTCTTGGTTATGTATGAAAAGAAAGTATATCATGCTATCTTTGATGATCTCGGGGCCAAAACAACCGGGAAACGATATTGATGTGTATTTGGCACCTTTGATTGAGGATCTGAAGAAATTATGGGAGGAAGGTGTTGATGTGTTTGATGCATATAAACAAGAGACCTTCAATTTACGTGCCATGATCTTCACCACGATAAATGACTTTCCAGCATATGGAAATTTGTCTGGATACAGTGTTAAGGGGCATAAAGCATGCCCGATATGTGAAGAAGGCACCCACTATATGCAACTTAAACATGGCAGGAAACAGTATATCTTGGTCACAGAAGGTTTCTTAGTCGGTATCACCCTTACCGTAGATTGAAAAAGGCATTTAATGGCTCACAAGAATATGAAATGGCTCCAAGACCATTAACTGGAGAAGAAGTTTATCAGCGGGTGGAGGGAATTAATGTGGTCTTCGGTAAGAAGAAGAAGAAGAAGACTGCCAGTGAGAGAAATATATGGAAAAAAAGATCTGTCTTTTTTATCTTCCATATTGGCGAAGTCTTGATGTGAGGCATAGTCTAGACGTGATGCATGTGGAGAAGAATGTATGTGAGAGTCTTGTTGGTACACTTTTGCATATAAGTGGAAAGACTAAAGATGGAATCAATACAAGACGAGACTTAGTCGAAATTGGAATAAGAAATGTCTTCACCCACAAGAAAGAGATGGTAAGAGGGCTTATTTACATCCAGCTACGCACACATTATCAAAAGAAGAGAAAAGAAGTTTCTGTGGTTTTGTCAATACTATTAAGGTGCCACAAGGTTATTCTTCTAATTTAAGCAAACTTGTTTCAATGCAAGATTTGAAGATAACGGGAATGAAGTCTCATGATTGTCATGTGTTGATGCAACAATTACTTCCACTTGCTATTCGAGGCATTATGAAAACCGATGTGAGAAATACTATTACAAGACTTTGTATGTTTTTTAGTGCCATTTGCAGCAAAGT